AATAGAAATCTTACTTACATGGTTTTTTCGTGTTGTTGTAAATATATTGTACTATTAATAAATCATTATTCAAACACTAATAACAAAAATATGATGGGAATATTAAGTAAAAATAAAACTAATAACGTTTATTATCATATTCAATAATTTTTCATAAAAAAATGAGTAAAACAAAAAGCTGTCTATTGATAATGTGTTACATACTTGTAGTCTTTGCAAGTTTCAAAAGAAAATATTTTTTATTAGTTCTAGATTTATATAGTGTCTTTAAACAAAAATAATATTAACAGACAATATATATGAGTCTCTCTAAATTTTGCATACAATTTCTATAAACTGCAATCATATTGATGATGCTGTATGGTCTTAATTTATCGTTCTTTATAGTTATGAATTTCGTCATTTTTCTATACATGTTAGTGATTCTTGAACAAGTAAAGGAGTACATACCGACGAGTCAGTACTGTGAAACAAATTATTCTGTAACTTAGTCTACATATAACAGAAAGACCATAGATGTGGTACAAATAATATTCAGTAAAACGAAGACAAAATTAAATGTAAAGTGAATTCAATTGTTCTGTTTTCCTGCATAAAAACTTTAATAACTATCAGGGAAGCAAATCATAGAAAGGAAACACACGTAAACTAACTTATTGCACTCTTCTCGTGAAATTCTAGATAAATACATCAGAACAAAAAACAGGAAAAAACTTAAGCTAAACTAATTTATTCGCTTTTTCTTAGAAGATACAGAAAATTATGGTCGAAATTAATAGAGCAAAACAAAATTAATCTATTCGCTTTCCTTCAATATGATGCTCGACAACTATCGGATAACTAAATGAGAAAAAAAGAAACTAAAGTCATTTTTATGATTCTGAGGCTCTAATAAAATACTCCAGAACCTAGCACGGATACTAAATGAAGAAATCAAAGTGAAGTTAGTTTTCTAATTACATTTTCATTATAAAATACTAGAAGAAATGAGCAGAAAATGAAACTTGTACTAGCTCTCTTCATTTCTCTCAGAACATGCGAGGGGAAGTACGAACATTGTCAATAGAAAAAAAAAGGTTATTAGACTCAGTTATTTAATATTTTCCATAAAATTCGCGATCAGTATAAGGGTAACTAAAAGATAAAAGAGAAAATTAAACTAAATCAACCTATTCAGGCTTTCTTAGAAAGCGACGGACGCTATTGATATCGATGATAAAAAAATAACGAAATGAAAAGAAAAGTGTGTTTTCTCATTCTATTGCTTCTATGAAATTTCTGATAACTATCGAATAAACTAAATGATATTTTCCCATTTTTCTGGTAACAAGCTAAGAAAGTTTTAATGCATTCAATCGAAGAAAAGCAAACTGAACTAACTAATTCTGCTTTAAGATACAGTGAGAATCAGGGATGGGTGTGGGTGTAATTGGAGAGAAAACCCGCATTCCAACTATCTGAAATGCAATATTATCAAAAGATAACAGATTATTTTCTAGGTGGAATTATTTCCATATGTTCGTCTAGTATCATTATATGATAAACATACTTTTGAACATGAATTTTTTATTCGAATTTCTCAATCATTTTCATTCATGGAAGATTTAACTATGATTTATCACCAATCACAAAAACATAAACAACTTTATAAATCAATAAATCATAATGACAATTCATCAATTGTTAAATATAATTATCTCATTACACTTGATGGTTCAAAAGTTCATGATAATTATATAGAAGAATTTTTATTTAATACAAAAATTTATTTTCATATTAATCATTAGAAAGAGTGATCCACAAGTTTACAAGAGATGATAAACGAATTAATTGTGCTAAAATAAATGAAATTTATATATTCGGAGAAAAAAGTTATTCCAAATCTGTACAAGATCATTTTCCTTTTGCAATAATACATCGATTATTATTTTAGTAAAACAAATTTATTATCTTATTCAAAGATCAAATATTTAAAAAAAAAAAGAAAAATATTTCTATAGAAAGAAGTGAATATCATCACGTGTGAACTGCTATTATCTGTCAGAAAGCTGACTTCTATTACTAGAAATCACTGTAAATCAGTTTATTTTCCCTTAACTTGACTAACATATTTATTTATCAGTATGAATGAGAAGAAACTGTCACTAAAAAAAAATCATTTCTAAACTGAATTTGGTGGTGAAGTAGCCTAGAACTAGAACAAAATTGAACAATCAATAATTTTGTTTTTCTCATCTGATCTTTTTCACATTTTTTATCTAGACACTCATCATACGAAACTTCTCCTCGAATCAAATCATTGATGAGGGAGCATAAAATTTTCTCAATACTGTATGACAATGTCAAGTTATAGTATATCTTGTTTTTTTTTTCAGTTTATCACTTTTCTATTTTTCATGCAAACATCTATTATTCTGTGCTTCAGAAACGAACAAATAAATGTCCACAATGAAGGAATATTCTTTACCAGACTTCCTTGAAAGAAATCTAAAACTTTCTTTGTCATGCTTTTTTTTTAAATAAATAAAAGCTTAAGAGAGATTATCTACATAAAAAGTTCACTGTAGAGGTGAATAAATCTGTAAATTATAAAAATTTTTACTTTGATAAAAGAAAATTTGATAAAGAGTTATTTTAGGTCCAATCTTAATTAAATAAAAAGATTTTTTTTATAAAAACAATTGTTCACTTACTAATAATTCATGTGATTGATAATTATTATATTTATCAAGATAAAATTCTTAAATTTTTCTACTAAAGAATATTAATCTATTTCTATTGAATTGAATCATCTTAATCGAAATATTAATCATTGATGATTTGATGTATTTTGATTATTAATATAATGTTTATCATTGAAATCTATGTTAAAATAAATAAAAGTACTTCGATAATTAATAAAAAATTTCATTAAAAAGACATAAGAATAAGAGTACATCCATCTAATTGATCAATAAATTAATAAGAATTATATTTATTTAAATCATCAATTTGAAATTGAATTGAAATTAATTAATATTAATAAATTTCGTATAAAAATTATTGATTGTAATCAATAGAAATATCTTTTCCATTTTAATCAATAATTGAGAGTGATATTTATACTAAAACATATGTATCTAATCGAAAATTTACAAATGAAGCAAATGGTTTCATTATTGACTAAGAGAAAAATATTTTATAATAAAGATTTTATCTAAAAAAAAATAGAAAACAACTGCAAGAGACATTTTCATCATCTGATAATGATTAAAAAGCTAATTCAACTGTAGAAATAAAAACATCATTTTCAGTATTAAACAATATTCATCATGATACAAGTGTAATTGAACGAACAGTTAAAATTTTATGAGGATTTTATAAAAGTTATGTTGAAATTGTTAAACATACAGCAGTATCAACATGCAAAATTGAGTTTTATCCCAATGTCAGACAATTACAATTGCTAATAAATTAATTAATCAATTTTTAATTTTTTTTATAACGCTACTTCATTGCTCGAAAACTTCAATTTATGCAACTTTTAGTGCACGAACACCTTAGTATGAAAATATAGTTCGAATAGATCTGATTTCAATGAAAAAAAAATTCTAATCTATCGCTAGACACCTGTTCATGATGATTCAATGACTTCAACTGCTCATAATGATGCATCAGTTTCATACTTGTAAAATTTTGTAAAAAGAATAGTTTCTTTTTAATCAAATAAAATTTCTTTTCTTCATTTACAATTGTTGAATACTAACTTATGAGTCGGTGTATGGATTGAGTGAAGAAAAAAAATCATTCTCATATTCAATAGAAATGATGTTTTGTCAAGTTGACGTATAAAACAAGATACACCTTATATTAATGATTGAATAGAGTTTGATAATGTCTACTTCAAACAAGGTTACTGTTACAGTGTATTGTAACTACATATACCTCGATTCTATCTATTCTCTTTTCTTTGATATTTTCGTTTCTGTTATTTCGTTTCTATTGCTCTTCTTTGTCCTTGATTAACCTTTCTATTCCTTTCTACTTTTGTCCTTGTTTTTCATGTTCGTATATAAACGTTTGTTTTCTTAAAGAATAAACAGAGAGAGAATAAACCACATACGCACGTTAACTGTGTTCGTCGCTCTTCGTGAGCGTGAACGCTAACAGTTACTATTTGTGGAAATCAAGTGTTCTATTGAACACATTTTTCTACCATTATTTTCTCTGAATCTTCTCGCTCGTAGCTGGTAATTTATATGTATGTTTTATTGTTATGACTCTCATGTAAAAGTGCAAATTTATTTTTCTTCTCTCTTTTCTCCATTCTGAACCATTTTATTTGAAGCACAATAATGAAATTTTAAAAACAAACAGAAGATTTTTTTTTCAAAATGTTATTGAAGAAAATGTTGAGTAACAATCATAAAGGATCACTCCACTGGATAGTAAGGACAAAAACCAATAACTAAGTTTATGAGCTATACTTTTAATGAAAAATGGTAACGATTGATTATTGTGGAAGGCTCATAAGAATTTCATAAATTTCTCAAAGTTACTTTAAGAGATAATCTACTACTCGATCGAGACATCATTTCCTCTGAAAAATTTTGCTATACATCTTTTCGATCATATGAAATAAAAGAGCATATAACATCTACCTATAAATCCAAAAATTTTAGCTTTGCTTCAATGACTGTTGACTAAATATGAAGGACATATTGAACATGACACTAGATCGTTAAAAATGTTTTCTCGCGCTCGAAATTTTCAGCAACAATGTCGATCTAAAATCTATTAAAAATACTTCTTAGTTTAATTACTCAACAGACGGTGCGTGTGGGTCGGAGTGTAGGAGTATTTCTTATCTCACACTCACACTAACAGTATTACATTACTATTCGTCGACCTATGGTCATCGTGATAAAATCCACTAGTACCAACATCACCTATTTTTTAAGAAATTCTGGTATTGTTTGGCCAGCCTATTGAAAGAAACCAACTGAAAATTCATGTTGAATTTAGAAAACAAAATATGCTTGGCATAATTTTAGTATAAGTTCAAGAGCATTTTTTCTATCAGATTCTCGATCTGGATCAAAAAATGATATGGATTTCCCCCAAAAAACAGCATGACCTATGCAAAAAAAAATTTTCAAAACTATTTCTCCTTTTTCTTGTTTTTCTTATGATTCATTCTACTTGTTCGACCAATAAGACGAATATAAAAATCACTTGTATCTGGTAAATCATAATTAACAACAAAATCAATAAAAGGAAAATCTAAACCACGAGCAGCAACGAATGTTGCAACAAATATTAGACATTTTCCATTTGTAAATTGTTCTACAGTTTTATTTCGTTGTTGATGTGTTGGATTTTCATGGATTATTATACTCATGAAACTTTTTTGTGAAAGTAATGCACCGATAGAATCAGCTGATCGCTGTGTTTCAACAAATATCAAACAACGTTCAGATTCTAAACAAGAACCGAAACAAGAAAATATTCTCATTAAATTTTCTTTAATATTGATTTCTACTAAGATTTTGTTCGAGTAATTGAAAAAGACGATCTTATTTCTTTGTAAGTGGTACTTCTTCAATTGTATGTGCTACATTGATATGTGCACTCATAGAAAAAAAATATAATCTTCACGAAGGATATATTTTGTTAATTGTTGTAATTGATTAGAAAATGTTGCGGAAAATATCCATGTAATACGTTCTTCTTTTGATGATAAACCAAGACTTTCTAATTTTCGTATATCAAGTTTCAAATCTGTATCTAACATTCTTTAGAAAAACAAAAAAAAACGCAATCGAAATTAGCGGCTATGGGTGTGGGTGGGTCTGGGTCTGGGTGCGAGTCTTCTTTTCAATGACAACCACACCCACACCCACCACTCAAATCTAACATTGATGTGAAATGCTAGAAATTTTTTTGAAAAACGTCTCCCAACATAAAATGTTCAATTGTTTCTCAACTAAATTGAATAGTGACTCAGTCAATAGTTCACCAAGTTTTTTTTATCGTATATGCATTCCATTGAAGGTATTCTTTCCAAACTAACAAAGCTTGAGCGTATGTTTGATAGATGGAGGGAAGAGGGAAACACCCCCTTTAAAAATGTGAAAACACACTGTAGTTACTGTTGATAATCACAAGGAGATTGTATTACTCTATCTATTTTAGGACACACTTATTCACAAATTTAACAAGAAATATAGCTCACATATTATAGTGAGACGTTATTGATATCCAGTCGGTGATTTTATATCAACAATATCTGTCACAGTCTGTGACAAGATGCAAATTTCTGTCCTATAGTTCAATACTTCTTTTAGATCATGTATCACAAAAGCTATAGCTTAAAGACTTTAAGACTGAAGTCGTTGCTATTTCCCACTCGTATATTCTTATTGAGAACAATGTTTTCTGCTAAAATTACTATTTGAAGTCCTTTATGCGTTTAAGGTCCCCTCAAAAAAGTCATTTTTCGTCAGAATCATCGAAGTTAACCTAAATACAGGGGACGATAGTCCATGATCTGATGTCTCATAAACGACAAAAAATTTTACTCGGCACTTTGTTTTTTTCAAAAGTTTTGCAGAATTTTCGTCTTCCTCTATTCGAAAAATAAGCTGTTTTTGAAAAAAAACCGAAAATTTTTTTCGTTTTTTCTCGTTTTCTAGGTTTTCGATCGTATCTTCAAGAACTCTCGAAGCAGCTTCATTGTAGCCAATAACTTTTGTATTGCTTGAAAGCTCATGTTTAGGGCTAGCCTCTCTCGTGATCCTTTTTTTTAAATAGCTTTTTTATTATCATATAAGAAAACACCTTTATAGAAACAGTGTCATTTTTAAAGGAATTTTTTGAATCATTGAACTTGTCATCCCTTTTCTTCGGTTAAAAAGTAAGAATTTAAAAACGAAGGCCACGAGGGGAGCTAGCCCTAAGCACAAGCTTTCAAAGAAAAAAAATTTAAATGTATAGAATGAAGACCCATACAGAATTCTTGGAGATACAATTGAACTATCTTTGACCATTGTTTGGTGAATATCTCCGTTAAACGTCATGATATAGGACTGAACATTTTATCATAGCCTTTCCACACCAGCCCAAACATATTCTGAAAATTTCATGGAATTTGGCTGTTCCTGGTCTGAGATCGATTTTTGGGAGAGGAGGCCTTAAGGCTACAGAAAAAAAGATGCAAATAAGCCTTGTTCAACAAATTTTTATTCGATTATTCTTTGTTTTTATTGTAGTCAAATGAATAATCGCTCTATACAATATATGTGTAAAACCAAACAATACAAGAAGACTACCCGAACACGAAAACGGAAATTGAGATTGAAAGGAACAGAGAAGGAACTATGAATTTTTCTCTACTTTGATGAGTCATCAATGTTAGTCATCAGATATTTTTATATAAGAGAACGAAAAAATACAGAATATATATTGCATAACTTCAATGTAGAACAAAGTAATATAGTATTAAATGAGAAAGGCAAATGGTCGAGCCGCGTTCTCGGGTTAAACCAACGATATTCTTACCATAAGAGACTAAAGCTTTTGGACGTGGAACTTCGGTTTCACAAGCCCGAGAATAAATCGATACTCGACCATTTTTTTTTCATTTAAATTCTCTGGATTTCTATCGAGTGTCAAGAATCAAAACTAATAATGCCATTCAATCAATAAAAATAAATCAAGAAAGCATAATCAAAATTTTTTTCACGACAACTCTTTATACAATCATTTCTGTTTTATCGTAAACGTCAATAATGATTAGTACAAAACGAAAAATATCTTTTAAAAAATTGAATACTAAGTTTATTTCGATGGGAAGATTACGAGATATTCTTTCAATGGATGAAAAAGTATTTATTTTCGACACAGCACATATTCAACCATCAGAATGATGTAGATGAATATAAAGAAATAAAACGACAGACTAGATTTCATTCATAAAAAACAAAGAATGGTATTGTTTAGTTTGTTTTCAGTCTGTAAAATTGTTTTAATAAACCGTTAACTATTTTTTTATGAAAACAAAAGCCGAATGAGTAAAAAATAACATTTTATGTATGAAAATTAACTAGACGTACTGAAAGATAACCAGAAATATTATGTACAAAGATCGATCAGTTAAGTCAATTTTGACGAATTCGATAGGTGCTAAAAGTTTTTGTAATCTGTGCAATGTCGAAAATCCAAATTGAAATATCTCGCGCTCTGAGCTGAGTTCAGATGCCACGCAGTTTCAATCAGTTAATGAATTACGATAGAAAAAAAAGGAATAAAATTTAGAGAAATGAATCATTGTAGATAGCCATAGTAAGAAATAGGGAGCTGTGGGTTCTTTCAGGCTCGGTCTCGGCCGGGTCGGGATCCAAATTTTCATTTTATGTCTAACCAAGCACGTTTTGTTTGGGTGTCGGGTGTGTGGTTGTGGGTGAGTGCGGCGTGATTGTGAATACAAAAAACCTTCAAACTTACATCCACACCTACACCCTTTTTAAGTTTGACAGGTTGGGTGTGAGTGTGAGTACTTGGTGTTTCCTAATACAGACACGTACCCACATATTCGCTTTAATAAATGAAAAATTTTATTTTTTTGTATGCCTGTGATTGTTTATATATGGATCAAGATCAACCGTAACAAACAACAAAATAATAAACAAACAAAAAAAGAAATAAATGAAAAAATGTTAATAAGAACAGTTATTTTAACTTTCTAAATGAATGACACGAATATGTGATACATAAAAGCATGAACCTAATTGTTCAGTCGTCGAAAAGTTTTTCTATTTGATCTTTTAAAATATCAAAAATTGATGATTTATCTTTTAAAACAGCAAAAATGGATGATTCATCTGATTCATTTGATACATTTGATTCATCTGACTCATTTGATTCATCTGATTCATTTGATACATTTGATTCATCTGACTCATTTGATTCATCTGATTCATTTGATTCGTCCGATTGATCTAACGTTTTTATTAAATTTAATAATTTTGAATAATGTTTATTCGTCCGTTTAATATCTTGCCAAAATTGTAATGATTTGAATTGTCTTTTCTGATCATCTGGTAATCTTTCAATTGAGTGAATATTTCGTTTGATATTAGCGTTACTCATAGACATTATAATATTTAATGCACATTTTAAATCAAAAGTTCGTTCATAAAAATAATATGGGAAATTCTTGCCAGCTAATAATTGTAAATGAAAATCTAAAAATTCGTTATCAGCATACATAACTGGACCTATTATATCTACGGTGCCCCTGTCATCATCTTCATCATATGCCATGGCAAAACCGAAATCAATTAATTTTATATGATTACTATCATGGTTTAACATTAAATTTTGTGGACGTACATCACGATGAATAATATGACAATCATATAAATAATGAACTATATCAATAAGTTGTTTCGATTGCATTAATGATAACGATTCTATACATTGTAATTCTTTTTCATAGACTAAATATTTACCTGAATATAAACATAAACAAATAATAAATAATATTAAATATTATTTCAATAATAGTTAAATTGAGATGTCGAATATCAAACTCTTTTCATTGTCAATTCATATTGAATTAGAGAAATGTACAATAGTGATTGAGTTTTGTAAAAACAAAACAGTTAAGTAAAATATTCTTTTCACTAGTTAATTAATCTAAACCACGAGCGAATAACATAGACAACTGTTCAATCACAAACTTAAAGTCATCAAAATTATTCTGAGACATTTTTTCTTTTGTCTATAACTGAGCTGCGTTCTTTGTTAGAAAGATCATGTCAACTACTAAACAAGACCTATAGCCGGCCAGACATATAAGAGTAGAGATATATTGATAAGGATTTAGGCATATGTACCAATATACATTATCCCTATATCCTTCCGTTGTGACTCTCATAATTACTATTCAGATAGTTTTCTTTTCTTTTAAAATGTCACCAAGAGAAAAAAAATATTTATTTCATTCGAAATATTTTTCCGACGAAAGTCTTTTAGTTACTCATCTATTATGATAAGTAATTTTTTCTAAGTCACCTCATTCAGAAAAATTACATTGAAGGATTACAAATTCAACAGTTTCACTATTTCATAAAGTCTTCTGTATCTACGTATTTTTTTCATTATGTGAAAAGTATATTTTTTTTTCTATTTTTGTTGATGCACTTTGAATCTGTAGAAAAAGTCAAAAGACAAATGTATTACCTGACGATAATGGATATAGAATATCTTGAAAAAATAAATGAAATTTGTTTGAATCATCGAATTGTTTTAATTTTTCTGTTATTTTAATTTCGTTTAAAAAATATTCTGAATATCTATTATTTTTTAATATTTTCATTACATAGTGTGGTGAATCTTCAACCGAATGATTATCTTCATTTTTTTTAAATAAATAAACCATTGATGTTAAACCAACCCCTAATTTTTTTGTTATCATATACCGACGATCAAGTAAATCATCACGAGGATCTATATCGAAACTTGTATATTGATAAAAGTCAGTGTTCATTGTTAAAAAATTTGTAAATATTTTCCATGTATTTTTATTAACACATAATTTTATTGTACTTTCAGTTGGTGTTGTTGTTGCTGATGTATCATCAATAAACGGTAATGTTTCATACAAATAACTAAACATTTCTAATTCTTGGCTTTGAAAAAGATCATACGAATTTGAATCGGATTTCTTGTTCACATAAAAAAATTTTATGTTTGTATAATTACTAATAAAGCCATATATCTTTTCACGACACTGTAGTGCCAATATAATTGTCAAATATTGTAATATTTCTTCAATGATGGAGTGTTCTGATAAAGAAACATTTGGAGATTTTAAATTACCAAGACAAACAACAAAATCTTGTAAGCATTCCACTTCTTTATCAATGTCGATATTTATATTTTTATATATAAATGTGCAATCAGGATGAAACTTATTTTTTAAATAATATGAAGAAGATGTGTGTATATATTTCAATGGTGTAGAATTATTCAATGTATTTAATAAATTAACAATTAAATCATCAAATGCATCTTGAATTTGTTTTTCGTTTAATTCAGGATATGATGAAAATTGATTTGAATAATGTTCAACATGATTTAATATATTATCATTAAAATAATTATTGTCCTTTAATACTACATTAATATCGAACGATTGCAAATAATCGGGTACATCGATATCGTAAAAATCAGAATCAGATGTAAACACATAAAGACCTTTCTTAGTTGATAATGAAGAGAATTCGAGTTCCAGCTTGCGTCGTTCTGCTTCATGAGTTTCACGTATATGCTGACGTTTTGCTTCATAAGTTTCACGTATATGCTGACGTTTTGCTTCATAAATTTCATGTATATGCTGACGTTTTGTTTCTTCGATTCGTATTATAACTGTAGTTTCACGTTCCATTTTTTCAATTGTATGTCGACTTTTTGTTTTTAAGATTCGTGTTGTTTCTTCGGCTTCACGTTTCATTTTTTTGATTGTATATCGAAATATTGCTTCTTGGATTTGTTTCATTTCCTCACCTTCACGTTTCATTTTTTCGATTTCATCTCGATGTTTTGTTTCTTCGATCAATTCTATTTCTTCAGCTTCACGTTTCATTTTTTCTATTTCATCTTGATGTTTTGTTTCTTCGATCAGTTCTATTTCTTCAGCTTCACGATTTATTTTTTCGATTTCATTCTGAAGTTTTCTTTCTTCAATTACTTGTTGTGCTTCTTCCTCGTCGACAGGTTGTTTTTCTGTCAATAATTGTAGAGTTTCATTATGATCATCAGTTGTAGTCATATTTGTGTAATTTTTTCTTTTCATCTACAAAGAAAACAGAAAAAGATATTTCATAGACTGAAATCAACAGGACGAGACAGTCGAGTGATCGTAGAGAGGCAAGACCGAATGGCGCAGTGAAGTTAATGCGTAGGTTAGGTCGTTTATAATTCACAACTGACGACATTTATATATATGATCAGCGAATAGAATAGAATAGAATAGAACCAGCCGGACGGCCGACTTCAGCCGACTATTTTTTGCCCTGAACAGCCGAAAACAATGAATGATATTAGACAATGTGATAATCAATGGTTGCAACAAACATCATAGAGGCATGAACAGATTATTAAATTTCTTATATGACGTTCAAAATAACGCTTCAATCCATTTATTATTACAAGGGACATAGTGATATATTGACTGTGATGAAATTCAAATAATAGATTAAAGTATCATAAGCCAATTTCTAACCAATCATATATATGCCATATAGGTCTCTGGAGGACATCATCTAGAGACAGCTACATTCTATTAATCAGTGAAACCCGGTGACGGGAAGCGCGCAGCATCCTTATCCGGAATGGCTGAGCGATCGAGTGCCGAATCTCGGCAACCTATTGCAACTAGAAGTCGTCGTGCAGTTGCCCCAGCAGTAATTGTCGATACTTCTAGCCAAGATCAAGGTCCTAGTGCTGGCATTCATGTGGCTCCTACACCCACTCGTCGGTTCGAAAATAGCACTCCGCAAGGAGAAAAAGGACCGAGTGGTGACAAACCCGCTGGATCGGGGAAGGCATCGGTTTGGTCAGAAGAGGAAATTGAAAAGCTAAAGCGATTAGTTCCAAGCAATGTCACACCCTCAGGTACGATATCTTGGAATGACGTCGAAAAAGCTTGGATAGATCTGAATCTGCCCAAAAGGACTAAGGCAGGCCTTAGCAGCAAGTGGCGGGATATCAAGACCAAATCCGCCAGTGTGAGTGTTAGTGATTCGTCTTTGACACAAAAGAAGACGAAATTGCATTTGAAAGTCGTTACTATTCCATCTGACACTACTGTAGATGTTAACCACAACGCCGGTAGTAATAATAACGATGTAAACCCTACAGTCGTAAAACCAGATCAGTGCGTACCGGCTGATTTGGCTGATGATGTTGTTAATTCAACCTTCAGGAAAGAATATAAAAAGGCACAAAAGATAGGATGTCGGATGACGTTGAGAAAAACGCCACTAAGAGTCTCCGGCAAGCATATTAAACCTATCATCTGCGAAGTTAATCGACTGATAAAAAGTGAGTTAGATTTGGTAGTAGGTGGAATATCTTGGAATCAGTTGTCAAATCTAGTTTACGCTGGTGCGATGACAGTTTCTAAGGTAGGAAACCGAAAATGTCTTGAAAAACAACAACGATCAAGAGAATGGTTTAAGATCACATATAGTGAATGTGAGAATTTGCGCCGCGTCATCGGTAAAGCTACTAGTGAGTTAAATAGACGGGTGAGAAGTGCGGAAGTAGCCCTTACAAATAAGCAGTTTCATAACATCAGGATGCTTAAAAAGAAATATAAGGTGGAGTCACGGGCTGAAATAACATCTCTTGTAGAAAGATTGAAGTGCAGACTTCAACTTCTACAATCGCGAATAGCATTAAGGAAAGCAGATGAAGAACGTGTACGCGTTCGTCAGATGCCGGCTAAGATGCTATTCCGAGGCACGTGTACTGATTCAGAACCAGTTGATATCCATCAGATCAGAAAGTTCTGGAAAGAAATTGTAGGGGTGAAAAAGTCTTTTAACTCGAAGAGTCCACGGCTAGTAGCATGGGAACAATCGTTGTCAAATATTCAGGGAGAAACTGATCTTAAAGGTCGATTGAACCCTGAACTTTGGCAGAAGGTTGTTCAAAAGATAAAACCATGGAAAGCACATGGTCCAGATAAGTTGCAGGGGTACTGGTGGAAAGTCTTCGATTCAGCCAATGCAACACTTTATGATTTAACTCTTCATCATATCTTATCTGGCGAACCCTTACCGCAGAGGTGGATAACCGATGGACGTATAGTACTCATACATAAATCCGGATCTAGGTCTGATCCCGCGAACTTCAGACCTATAGCTTGTTTGAACATCTGCTACAAGCTAGTAACAGGTTTTATAGCCGCATATTTAGATCAGTATGTGAGGGGGCGAGATATACTGAACAACGAGCAAATAGCATTACGTCGGGGTGTGTGGGCTTGCTCACATGCTCTCACTCTTGACCAAACGTTAATAGCAGACGCACAGGATCAGAAGCAGAGACCTATTAGCGTAGCTTGGATAGACTATGCAAAGGCATTCGATAGTCTGCCACATAGTTATATCAAATGGCTGCTCAAAGTAATGCAAGTTCCTGACCTGTTACGAAAGTTTTTGAAAAGCGTCATGAATAATTGGAGAGTACGATATGAAGCGAGAAGTCCTAGGGGTAAGATAGAACATAGTAATTATCTAAGGATTCGTTCCGGAGTTCTTCAAGGAGATAGCTTCAGTCCCTTGTTGTTCTGTCTAGCGATGGCGCCCATCAGTCACGCAATAAATAGTGTTAAAGGTGGCTATACCACCGCCTCTGGGAAATTTAAAAAGGTGCAAATCTCGTTGTCTCATCTTTTCTATATGGATGATCTTAAGCTGTATGCAAACTCACCTGAAAGTCTAATGGAACAGATCAAAGTCGTAGCATCAATTTCAGAGGACATAAACATGAAATTGAATGTTAAAAAATGTGCTGTAACACACTTTATACCGAAACGAATGCGAAGTGAACAGACAGATGTAGATGATGACACATCTACTGACAGAAGTATAAGCTTCCCGATGCTAGATGGTGAAGCAGTCTACAAATATCTGGGCATGGAACAGAAGCTAGGTTTAAAGGAGTCTGAAGCATGGGATCGTGCGAACGACAGGTGTTATGATAAAGCACGTCGCTTATGGGATTCCGATCTTACTTTTCGACAAAAAGTGAATTCCTATAACACCACTATCATTCCTGTATTTAAATATATAGCCAGTTGCATAATTAAAGGTAGTGGTACATACGCAAGTGTCTTAAAACGGGGCGAAGATCTAGATAAGAAGTACCGCAAACTACTTGTGGAGCTTAAAGCTAGACAAAAATCCAGCTGTGTAGCAAGATTGTACCTGCCAGCTGAAATGGGAGGATATGGTCTCAAATCGATTAAGGACGCCATAGAGGAGTCCACCATATACCTATGGGCGTATCTCTGTACGAAAGCAGAATTAAAAGGATCATTAAATCTGTTTTTGGGAATGGTTAACCGGGGGAAACGATGTGTAGTTAGTGATGCAGGCAGCATTATAAAGGCATATGATATAGACTATAAGTTAGAAGAAGTGCGTTCCACTGTCATTATAGATGGTGCTTCTTTTAACGACGCAAGAACATTAGCAAGACACGTGGTCGGGCTAATGCGTACTGTCAATAACAACGGACGGTACAAAACATGGAAAGAAGTAGAGCTAGCAGGACGTGTTCTACGTTCAAACTCTAGCATGGATATGATAGAGTCCTTTACTTGGCTCAAGCAAGGGAAACTATCATCGGTAGCGGTAAGGAATGCTCTAGCAGCTCAAGAAGGATGCTTAATAACGCGCACACATCCTTCACAAGCAAATTCGAACGATAAGAGTTGTAGGGCGTGTGGGTGCCATCTTGAAACAATTGAGCATGTCCTTTCAAGTTGTTCCAAGTGGTTGTCGAACCTATACATCGACCGTCACGACTCAGTTGCTAGAAACATACACTATCGAATATGTCAAAAATACGGCTTTACTCCTGCACACTACTCACAGAAAGTGGAATCGGTTCTAGAGAATGAGAGGATAAAGTTGTATTGGAATCAACCCGTACAAACCAAAACGATCATTCGCCATAACAAACCAGATTTGATAATCTTCGATAAGCCAGGAAAGACAGCCTTGATAATCGAGGTTGCAATATCATGGTTTACTGGTATAGAAAGACAGGTACAAATAAAAACAAATCGTTACTGTGTCAATGGTAATTGGGAAGAAGTTACGAAGCTGCCATACCCAGTAGGAGATAATTTACTACGTGAATTACAAACTGCTGGATGGAAAGTTTCCTTCTTACCGGTGGTCCTTGGCACATGTGGCGAAGTGCTTTCGAACCTAAAAGGAGATTTAATGGAAAAAATTGGCTTAACTCAGGTAGCAACTGCCGACTGTCTCGAGAGAATGCAACGTAGTGCGATTTTGGGAACGAGCAGGATCATTAAAAATCACCTTGCTGTAAGATAAGGAAATGGTGATGTCTAATGACCCGTTGTGCTTGCACATGCGGAATTAATCAATGATTTTTGGGAAAAAAACAAGAAAGGTAGTGATTCTAACATAGGGAAAAGTCATTGAAGACCCTTGTTCCAAATATCATCTTAGGAACATTGTAGCTGAGAGTGAGTAACTCCCAGTATCGGTGGGCTAAACCCCAGCGAGTGTCTAAAACGGCCGAGGCGACTCGGAAGTGTCATGTAGGTGGCATGCCATATAGCTACCAGTAGTAGGAATCAGCAAGTTGCCACTCAGGTTATTCCTCTTGGTTTTTTCATGGATGGTGGCTCCTAACAATTGTTCCTTTTAAAGTTACTTATTCGAAACAACTATGAACAGAAATGAGCTGTTGCTTGCACAAATAACTTATTCTATGGAATAAAAAAAAAATTATTTTTCTTGTTTTGTTTTATCAGTCCTGCACTTTCTGCATCAACAAAACCATGAAAAAGGTCAACGCCATAAATTGATTAAAGAAGTAAATGATGAAATTAAAGAGCCATTTCAATTATTTGACAATGATGAATATAATGAACTTGATTATATCATGAAGTTAAAATAAAAAATATTTTGATTTTTGTTTACACTCTTTTTTTATATTTATTTTAGTTTGAACTTCGAGCATTAGGTTTTGATGTTTATAAAGCCGATGTTCAAAAAATAA